TGTGTGGGTGTGTGTGTGTGTGTGTGTGTGTGTGTGTGTGGGTGTATCTATGTTCAAACCAATTTCTAATTTCTCTTTCACTAAATGGGTAGATAACAGCAAGTTGCCTAGATAACTAGAATTCCAAAGCGATTTTCTATCCATTAAAATTGGGGGAGGCATTGTTTTGATTTTTAATCTCTTAGAGAATTTGCTTTTATCTTTAAAGTCTTTATGTACAGAAATCAGTGAGGTAAATTATTACCTAAGTCAATTCTATTGAAGTGTTGAAAGATAAATGTAAAACCCTGAATGCTGATGCATGTGTAATGTATACTCCCCTGGTACTTCTTTATGAGGGATTGAAGGATAGGAGAGGAAATGAGTTTGGATGCTTAAAACCAGTCCCTAGTATCTGCTCCCGAGCAGTTGTGTTTGATGTTGCTGCACAAAGGGAAAGGGAGGGGGCAAGAGAAGGGTATGTTCTCCAAAGTGACTTTCCCAGGGGAATATGCAGCAAGCCATGTTCTGAATCATAAAGACTCACATTCTACTTCTCACCGTGGTTACAGTGGAGACCTATATAGTTTGCATATCCCAATATTGCTTATATGAAATTTGGGGGAAATTTATAGAGCAAAAGCAGTCTGTAAACCAGGGGTCCTCAAACTTTTTAAACAGGGGGCCAGTTCACTGTCCCTCAGACCGTTGGAGGGCCGGACTATAGTTTAAAAAAAACAACTATGAACAAATTCCTATGCACACTGCACATATCTTATTTTGAAGTAAAAAAACAAAACGGGAACAAATACAATATTTGTATTTGCATGTGGCCCGCGGGCTGTAGTTTGAGAACCCCTGATGTAAACTGTAAAACAAAGAGGGGTCCTTTTACAGGTAACAGCAGAAAGAAGAGACCTGAAGTGGGCACATCCAGCCCACGTATGTGGCTTTTTCCCCCCCCAAAGCAATCATTATTTTATTGTAGTCGGCAGACAATATTACATTAGTTTCAGGTGTACAACTTAGTGATTCAACGTTTATACATCTTACGATGTGCTCACCACACTGTCTAGTAACCATCTGTCACTGTGCAAATTTATCACAGTGTTATAGACTATTTCCCCTTCACCTTTTTCACCCATCTCTCCACCCCACACTGCTCCCACCCGTCTGGCAACCATCAGTTTCTTCCTTATTTGTATAAGTCTGTTTCTTGTCTTGATTTTTTTTAAAATTCCACATATAAGTGAAATCATGCTGTATTTTTCTTTCTTTGACTTCTTTCACTTAGCATAATACCCTCTAGGTCCATCTATGTGGTTGCAAGTCGGGGGGGGGGGTTCATTCCTTTTTATTGATGCGTAATATTTCATTGTAAATATGTACCATATCTTCATTAGCCATTCATCTATTGACAGACACCTCAGTTGCTTCCATATCTTGGCTATTGTAAATAATGTTGCAGTGAACATAGGGGAGCATATATCTTTTCAAATTAGTGTTTTCCTTTTTTTTATGTAAATCCCCAAAAGTGGAATTGCTGGGTCGTATGGTAGTTCTGTTTTAGTTTTTGAGAATCTCCATAATGTTTTCCACAGTGGCTGCTCCCATTTCTGGTCCCTCCAGCAGTACACCTCTCGCCAACACTTGTTACTTATTGACTTTTTGGTCTGAGGTGGAATCTCATTGTGATTTTCATTTTCATTTCCCTGATGATTAGTGATGTTGAGCATCTTTCCTATGTCTGTTGGCCATCTGTACGTCCTCTTTGGAGAACTGTCTCTTCAGGTTCTCGGCCCATTTTTTGATAGGATTGCTTATTTTTTCATTATTGAGTTGTGTGAGTTCCTTACATGTTTTGGATATCAACCTCTTACCGGCTATATCATTTGCGAATATATCCTCCTGTTCGGTAGGTTGTCTTCTTGTTTTGTTGATTTCCTTTGCTGTGCAGAAGCTTCTTAGATGAAGTCCCATTTGTTTATTTTTGCTTTTGTTTACCTTGCTCGTGGAGACATACCCAAAAATATGTTACTAAGACTGATATCAAATAGTTTACTGCCTATGTTTTCTTCTGGGCGTTTTGTGGGTTTAGGTCTTACAATTAAGTCCTTAGTCTATTTTGAGTTTTATTTTTGTATGCGGTATACATATGTGACTTTTTATTCCAGCAATCCGAGCTGGAAGTATCTGCTCTGGCAAGAATGCTTAGTTTGCCGAAAACCAAACCCAAATAAAGTCAGTTGTTTATTTTGCCCATTCTTTTGCTTGTCCTTTCTACTGCCCAACTTCTTGGGATTTTTCTCAATTTTGCTCAGGACTGCTGTCAGCAATAAATATGAATGACAGTATCTAACATGTAATGAACACTACAGTGACCAAGATGCTTTGCCTGCATTATCATACTTAATCCTCGCAGGGACGCTGTGCGATTACATTGTTCTCATCATCGCCAGCACTATCATCCCTATGTGGTAGCTCTGCGAAGCTCAGTAAGTTACCTAAGTGAAGTGAGAAAAGTCAGGATTATTACTGGTTTCTCTAGTGAAATATTTGATAAGGAAGGAGACTGAAACATGTGGAATTTCTTTTCTTTTTTTTCCTTTTAATTTAGGGCTGGTGGGGGAGTGTAGCTCTGGAGCGGTGCGTTCTCTGGGCAATCCGGAGCCCTGGGGATGGGGGTGGGGTGGGTGGAAGTCAGGGCTTGTATTTATTCAAAGTCTGCATTGATGAGATGAGATATCCTGGGGTCCCTCACTGACTGTTATCTTCCTTCCCTGCCCTCACTTCCATTCCCACGCTCAGAGGAAGGTGGGGCTTGGAGTTGGGGGAGGGGAGGGGAGGGGGGATTCCAACCTCCACCCTCTGGAGTCTCTGACAATATCTGTCTTCAAGGGTTTAGACATCTACTCCATTTGTCCCTAATTCATTGTCCAACTTGACTTCTCCTGAGATTTCTCTTTTCTCTTGTTCCCGAAATCTGACGATCCAGCTATAACCTTTCCTCTTCCCCTGTATCCTGCCTATGGGCCTGGGCACTGAGTTTGAATGCGAAGGAAAGCTCTCTCATTGCGGCTTCTGGGTTTCAGGGTATGGATTGTTCATGTACACAGGTATCTGGACCAGGCAAGGGAAGGCTTTTGTTTATTCTCGTCACCATGACCTCAGCAAGCCTGTAAGCAAATCTGATTAGAGGCTCAGTCGTACACAATTACTTTAATCACACTTACAGCTATCAAAATATATATACATTGTATCTGCATATACATGGCAGCACATATACATATATAAGATGCTCAGTATAGAACATTTAAAAATATAGATGTATAGCATTGTCTAAAAAAATAAAGCAAGAATTACTAGTAGTAATTTCATATAGTCTTTAAATTTTATATACAGGGTGTCCCCCAAAAAATGTATATACAGTGTATACTTTAACAGCTAATAGCTCAATTTTGAAAATGAAATATATTTTAATAAACACTGCCTTTATAATTATTCTAAGTTTGTGTATACATTTTTGGGGGGAACACCCTATATTTCACATAGCTAAGATTGTGCTTATAAAAATAATTTTACCTTTTCCTTTCCCATTTTGTATTATAAAACAAATACCCACTGTTGTTGGTTATTTTTTAAGGCAAATTCAAACAATGCAAAAGTGTATGCTCGTTATAAATATACTATTTTTGAAATGAAATTAACATGAAATTTACAGGCCTCAGATTAAGATGGGATGAAGAGGGCTTTATGGCAGCTAGTGAAGGCCTGTTACTAATCTTTCCCCTGAGAAAAAGATAAATTATTTGGGTAGTTTAGTAGGAGTTTTAAATGTGGAGTAATTGGTATGATTTTTATTTTTATTTTCCAAAGATACAGTATAATATTAAATACGTTATGCCCAAAAGAGGTCCTCCCACCCATCCCCCTGAAAAATCACTGCTTTGGGCTCCATAGAACTTGAGAAGAAATCCCATGAGAAGTTGGGGTCAGGGCACTGGCAAAGGAAACACTGTCCATGGTTTTAAGAATAAAACCAAAAAAAAGTAGAGCAGCTGAAAAAAAACACCACCTGGCCCACCGCGCCCTCGGCTGCAAAGCCATCTGACGACTGATCACCCCACGTCCAGGTCCCTGATTAGAGTTGCAATTGGATAAGGGACGAGTCACAAGTCCTTTTATATTCTGACTTCCCCAGTGTGTCCTTCAGTTAGATTGGATAAAAGGTGCTGATTTGAAAGTAAGAGCAGTTAGTTAATACTGTAATCTGTAAAATTTATTAGGATCCATTTCCGACATACAAAATGGGTAGAGGTTAGCTACATAGCAAGCACCCATGCCCATACCACCTCGCTTAATCAATATGGATAATATCACTCAGCACCTACCACGTGCCAGGCATTGTTCTGTGCACTGGGGACACAGCAGTGAACAAAACAGGCAGAAAGGATCTGATCTTCGAGGGGAAGTTGAGGTTTTCTGTGGACAGAGTCTGTAAAAGTATTTTGTTTACCTGAAATTCAAATTGAACTGCGTGTCCTCTGTTTATTTGCTAAGCCTGGCAACCTGACCTGTTGCATCTTTTTCCTTCCTGCCCACCCTGTCACTGTCAGTCGTTTGTCAGTGTGACCTCCTTTCCACCAGATCCTTCATCGGACTTCTGATGACTGACGCAGTTTTGTTTTTATTAATTTAAAACATTTTATTATGGTATCACTAAGAGTACCCTAAAGGCATTTTAAAAAATATATATTCTTATTAATTTCAGAGAGGAAGGGAGAGGGAGAGAG